ACAACCAGCTGTTGAAAGAATTGTGAACCAATGGTTGGAGTTGAAGACACACTTTGAAATAACAAGACAAAGTGAAAAGTGCTACACAGCTGAGATACTATATGGAATGTACAGTGATGAAAAAAAAATTTGGCATTCCTTCTCTTTTTACAACCTATTCTAATGGAAGTGCAAAAAGTTAATAAACTGTTCGAATCCAAACATGTTGATAAAGTTAAATTACTTGACGATCTCACTTTGCTATTTTTACTCAGTTGGTAAAAGACTGGTGTTGCCAACTTCAAAAGTTGATTTGCTCACTTGCACTATAGAGAGCTATTTGGCTCCTAAGCCATACCTTGGATATCAAATTGAATCAAAAATTGATGATTTAAAAACAAAAGGACTGTTAACAGAGAATGAAGAGAACAACTTAAGAAAACGCTGTCAAGATTTCCTTATCTCATTGTTCAAGCAACTAAAGCAGAGACTTCCTGAAAATCTAGATGTATTGAAACATATTTCACTCTTTTCTGTGAGCAACATACTTCAGCCAGTAAAGGACATACCTAAATATTGTAAAGTTATGAAATTTTTAGGGGCTACTGACAATAGTGTCGCGGAAGCAGAATATCAGTTAACCAAAAAAAACTTAGTTGAATGGACAAACAAAACAGAAACTGAAGCGTTTTGGAGTAAAATGAGACAATTTAAAGATGCCTCATCAAACAGTCCATTCTGTAAACTCTTTGAATGTGCCATGTCTGCCATGATACTACCCCACTCAAATGCTGACGTAGAAAGAGTTTTCAGTGCTATGAATTATATCAAATCTAACCTAAGAAACAGGATGAAATTAGACCTCTTAAATGCTATCTTGACAATAAAGTTTGGCCTGATGAGAGTAGAAAAATGCTGTTCCACTTATCAGCTCCCTGATTGTGTATTAAAAGAAATAGGAACAGCTAAAGCATACCAGAGTAATTTGGGATCTGAAGCTTCAACTTCATCATCCAAGCTAAGTTTATCCTGTGGATCTTGTGAAGCAGACATCAGTGAAGACGAGGACATGTGTCTATAGGGTAAGTCATTTCAATAGTTTTGTAATTTGTGACTCTTTTCATTTGGATATTTTTTTTTAAATATTTTCCACGCAAATTTAGATCTTTTTAGATATTTTTTTACCCCGTTTTGGATCTTTTTTGTCAAAGAAAAGTGGCAACACTGGTTGAGTTGAGTAGTGTTGACGACAATTGAGGTAGGCAAACAAATTTGTCAACAGCGCAGATACATATTCATTTTATAACGTTTGTCTGTGGATTTACTGCTCATTATAATACTTCAGTGTAGACACTATACTTCCTAATTCAATAAAAATGTATACAGTATCGTTGCTGATTTACTAAATTTAAAGTTTTTGTAATAATAATTACATACACAGTTGCTTCTCTTACATTTACATCCGTCTCAAGATGGCCATATTTCTACACTGTCGTTACGGCGTTACGGGCCTCATCATGATGATCTACATAAAAATAAACCCATGTAGTGACATGTGTTAGTTTTACTTTGTAATGACTTGCTTGAATCAATTAATTTTTAATTGTTGCAGCGATAATAATGTCACACTCACTGAACGGATAATAAAAGCTTTTTTTTTTCTTCTGAGCGTTCGGTTTCGTATTCTCAGATCACCATCAGGTGGGTTGCCTCTATGAACTCGATGTCAGTAGCAGGTCCTTCATGGTTTCCCATAGCTTGCTCAGCAAACTTTGCTCTTGAGGCCAGGTGTCTTTTCGAAGTTAGGATAATGAAACCGGTTTACAAACCTATTATTATTACAGTAATTTAAATATGTTTGCTTCAGATTGAATGATTAAATGTGATTCGATTCATTGTCAAACTTAGTTTCAGTTTCTCTTCAGTGGTTGCTGAGTCAAGTGCTGTACATTTTAACTGTTTGGCTAAGGGAATATCTTCCTTCTCTTTGCAAATTACATTTACTCTTAAAATGGTGGTTGGTACAATACATTTTATTGTTGTTACATTGTTTACATACAGCCTGTGACTAAGTATATCTCAGATATATGTACCCATTGGCCCCTACAAATATGACTTCGCAAGTCCGTAATCAGTTGCCTTTTTGACATGCAGTGGATTTTTTCCTTGTCCTCAGGAGTGGGGCCGTGAAACCCTCATAGTTTAATGTCAGTGATTGCTATATTTGCTGCTGAAATAGTAAATATTTTTGCCTACATTTTACATGTATGGGAATTTGTCTATGTTTCACTTTCCATTTTGTACTGTTTTTTTTACAGTGGTATTATTATTATTGCTTTCTGTCAGTCCCTGAAAACTTGTCTTTCTATGCACTCTGTTGGGAATGTTTTTTTCCAGTTACTAACCTTTAACCAATAGTGTTACTATTCATTACTTCCCATTCTTATATTTTGTAATTAATTTTTTGTTCTTGTATATGCTGTTGCTAGATGTTATAAGGGCTCTTTGGGAGGGAGTAAATAATGAGGAGGCACACATAGATCATCTCGGTGTGAAGAGAATGGTGCAGCGAGGCGCAGTGACCAGGCGATCTGGTTGACGCTGAACACTCGGGGGAATGGCGAGATGGACATACAGTCAGACTGTTATTGGTACCATAGGAATTGGAATTCTGTGCTTCCTGCTGAAGATTGGGGGACGGAGCCCTTATGGGAATGCCTCAAGTGCTAGGATGTCAGATTTTAACTCATAATTGCTTCACTATTTATGCAATCTGCATGTCCTTAGGGTTGTACAAGACTGGTATAGCTGTGTAAGGGTGTCCCCATTTATAACTTCTTTCGAGGTTGAACAGAATATCTGGGATCTGCCCAACTGGTTTGCCTTCCACATTGAGAATTTGTATATTATCAGTGGTAAACCTTCAGCACATTTATCAGCAAATTTTTTTTTAACTGGTCTGTGATAACATTTATGAACACAGAAAACCTGAACTTTTTTTTTAATGCTAATGTAGATTTACTCTTTTGATTTTAATATGACTTTTAACAAGTTTAGGGGTCTCTTGCAGACTTTCAGAAATTAGAGTGGTCCTTGGGTCTTATCTAACTGGGAACTACTGCTTGGATTAGGTTGAGTTGAATTAACCTTCACTCGGTCAACAGATACCTTTAGAAGCAGGATGTGTCAGCTGAAATGTGCAAATAGTGCAGCAGTGCTGTAAACAGACACACCACAATTATATGTTCAGATGAATGAAGAAGAAAAATGAGTTAAAACTGTTACAACCACCCAACCTTTCTGTCTTTTCCAATGGATGCTTTGTTTGTATTCCTATTATTATTGTAGGATTGTAACTTTCATCGTCTATGACTCTCATTGCTTGTAAACTTTGAAACAGTTTCTTGGGCTTATACCTCACATATATGGTAATTAATCTCTGTATCAGCACTAAGAGTTTTTTTTTTTGTCCTTGCGTGACTTTGCATTTAACTGTCACTATAATTAATGTTACTGCATCTATTAGTTTTTTTCCACTGCACCACGTTATTATAACGGTTATTGAAACACCTCACACTTTGATTGTATTGTATTGTATATGCCAGTTTCTTGTATAGTTATACATCGTTAACACACATTTCAGGCGACTAAAAATGAAGTTTGTGTTAAATAAATTGTTCTAACCGGGAACTAATAACAGAAAAACATCCCAGCTAGAACCAAAATTGTGTTCATTCTTAAGTGAGTTCATGCTGAGGTTTTATTGTACATAATAATGGACAGTCACACAGCTAAAGGAAACTGCCATAGTATAGCAGCTATACACTTAACTGTGGATCTGAAGGTTGTGTGTTCCTGGCAAAGCCAGACTTTTCTTAAAAAATGGCCTCAGCTCCCAGGTCAACCCAGCCTTGAATGGGTGCTAGGTAAAGGCATGGGAAGTAAAGGCAGTGGGCGTGATGTTGATCACATCACCCACCGAGTGCCGATTAGTCTATAAAATATGTCTAGGCCCTTTATGCCTGGTACATCTGAAAGGCCTGAAAAAAGGCCTCCAAAATTTTTTTTATGGGTGCATGTAATCAATCAATCCTCATCGCGCCGAGAGGCACATAAGGCAAAGACAGACTGTCACCTTTCAATTCAAACCGGAGCCATCCTCTCTATCTCCAGTTTTGTCCTTCCCGTAGCCTTGACTTCAGTCTCAAAAGTTCACCTTCAAGTTCCTCTAAGCCTGCTTCTTCCTCGCTGTCCTTGTGGTATCCCTTGCATTGTCTGTCTCGGCCATTTCTCTTAATTCTGAGGATGTGTCCACTCCACTTCTGTCTGTCATTTGTTGTAATTTAGAATTGCTGATTTTATCTTCCCATGTCAATCTTCTGAGGTCTTTTCTCAAAATCTCTGAGCATGCTCTCTATCTTTCTGCAGTTTTCCAAGTTTCTGCTCCATAGAGGAGAACTGTCCTAATGCATGTTTTGTATATCCTGAGTTTGGTTTTTGTGCTGTAGATGTTTGATCTTCAGGCTCTCTGAAGTCTGTTGTAGGCAGCATTTGCCTTTGCATTTCTCTGCTTGATTTAAACCACTACATTTCTATCCAAGAAGATATTGCTTTCCAGTTAAGTGAAGTCAGTTACCGTTTCCAAACCTACATTATCTGTTACTATAGGTCTTTCACTTTTGGTGAGGCGCAGCTAAAGAGTGGTAAAATTATGGTAGTTGTGAAATGCTTCTTCTTCTGACAGTGAAATTTATACAAGAGACAAAACTGCTGATATAGACAACTTATTTCAAGCGAACGAAAGAAGAAGCTTTTTCTTCTTTGTTAGTATATTCTTGCACTTTTTCTTATTAAATGATAAGCATTATTTTTTCCATTGCAGCTAGAAAAGAACTGACCGGATGTTTCATGTCATGGAGGAGGCTCTTCAAAACAGTTATTGACTTGGCAATTTAAATTGACAAGTGGAAATTTTATAAGGTCACCTCCATATTTGTAGGAGCCTGGAGAGCTCTTGAAAAATGCTGAACCAACCATTTCACAAAGGCTCTCTAAACATTGGCAGTACCATTCCGAAAGATTATGAGTTTTTTTCAAACAGCCAGTCAGATCAAGATGTAGATGGCAAATCCGTTGCCCACTGGAACGAGACAGATTATATTGAAGGTAAAGGTAATCAAGAAATTCATACAGAACAGGATGTTAACAAAGACTGTAAAGCTAGTGGTCGTTTGCTGCAATATTCTATGGACAAAGGTGTCACACACAAAGATTTTGAAATGAATCAGAGGCAGAAGTTTTTCATGGATAAAGGAGACGTCACCATGGATGCAGAATGTGGATTTGTGATCAAGCAAAAGAGAGTGAGTGCTGGAAGTAAACTGCACAGACGAACATGTGTGCCTTTTACAAGTAGTAGCAAGACATCCAACAGATTTATTGACAAGCTGAACATTGATGAGGACATAGAAGCTCCAGTTAGTTTTAAGCAACAAAAGAGTGGTAAATGTAGTGTAAGTAAAGATTCTGTTTTCAGTGATTTTTCTGAAGTTGCAACAAGAAATACTAATGAAGAAATTAAAACTGAGATTGAACAGAATGTACATTGGGAGGGAGAGAAAAGTGAAAATAATTCCACAGAAAAGAAGTTGTCTTTCATGAGTCGTGTAATGGACTGCTCACAGCATTGTGTAGATATGAATGGCATTCATTGTGATGGTACAGATACAGGGGTGATTATTCTGCACAGTAAGAGTTTGCAAAATCAGCCTGTTAAAAAATGTCTCAGTACTTTAGACGATTGGTTGCAGACCTCAAATGGCATTAATGATATCAAGATGAAAACTGATCATAATGATGATGATAAGAATGAGGGATTATTTTTGTTGGATGATTGTTCGGTAGATGATGTTTATTTGGAATCACCTTGTTATTCTGATTCGTTGGCGGTAGAAGACTTGCAGAAGCAAGAAGTCAGTGATGGTGGACTTAATAGAGAGGTTGTCTCCCCAGCCATGGACAGTGATATTTTACCACTGAATGATTTTGAAAGTGTTGAAGATTTGTCCCCTCAGAGCAGTTTATATGATAGTACTCAATCAGTGCAAGACAGTGCCCTGCCAATGCAGGACAGTATCCAGCCACTGCTGGGCTGTACCCAGTCAGTGCATGGCAATACCCAGTCAGTGCAGGACAGTTCCCAGTCAATGCAGGACAGTTCCCAGTCAATGCAGGACAGTTCCCAGTCAATGCAGGACAGTTCCCAGTCAATGCAGGACAGTTCCCAGTCAATGCAGGACAGTTCCAAGTCAATGCAGGACAGTTCTCAGTCAATGCAGGACAGTTCCAAGTCAATGCAGGACAGTTCTCAGTCAATGCAGGACAATTCTCAGTCAGTATCATCAACAGCATCAACCAGTGACAGCATATCCCAGAGAGATAAAGTTTCAGATATTTCTGATTCAAAGGAACAGTTAACTATTACTGATTCAGGTTACTTTTCTTCATGTGATCTTGTTGAAAGTAGTTCAGAATTCACTATAACTACTGAGCTATGTGATAGTTCAGAACAAGAGCAAACAGCAATGAACTGCTCTGAAAGAAATACTGATATTGGTGATTGCAACCTCACTTTAGGAAATGTAGCTTCGTCATCCGTCTCAACACTTTCATTATCGTTCCTTTTATCGCCTGGTGGATCTTCACACTTTGGATCAAATCTACAATCAGTCAATCATCCGTTAAACAGCGGAGAGCAGCAACGGTCACTTCATATTCAACGTAGCCCAGCTTCATCACGTTCTCTTTTTACTGAAAGAAACAGCACAGATATATCAGACACTGGGAAATGTCAAGCTGGTAAAACCTCAGCTTCATCTTCTCCGGCTCTAACTGCTTCACCAGGCTGTTCCTGTGGCAGCCCCAAACCACTGGCGGACAGGAGACATATCAGAAGCATTCTCAACACATACGTCAGTCACAGATTGAAACCTGATGTTTGTAATGATAGCGTCAGTGATATCACAGATGAGCTTGCTCTTATACTGAGGAGTTCCAGAAAGAGAGTAGCCACTGGTACAGATGCAAACACAATACCTGTGAAGAAATCTAATGTAGTAAGTGCCTTTTTCAGTTTTCATCATCTGCATCTAGAGTGAGGGCTGTCTGGCCCTCACATTATATCTTCTTCTTCTTCGCATTCACCGGCTTCAAACTGCGGCGGAAAATTCTGGTTGTTCATCCACTTCTGGACATTAGTCTTGTTTAAGAACATGAGTTTTTAATTGCGAATTCATTTTACAGATGTGACTTATTTGTGTGCAGACTGTTTGTTCCTTGCCTCTCAGGCAAGTCCACTCCGACTTCAAAGGAATTCCCTGATTAGTCGACTGTTATGACAAGCTTGTTAGGGAGGCAGTGGGTGGGTCCATTCTTCTTTTATTCCCCACACTGGGGCCATAGAATACACATGGGGAACCCATTATATAAGATCCACAAAATATATGGTTAGACCCTACCAAGGCAGCAACAGCAATTAAATGTTTGGCCAGAAATAGCTGACCAATTGTTGAACTGATATTTGTTTCATAGCTTGTGATTGATGCTTTAAATATCCAGTTGGTTCTTGGGGGCAGGATAGGGTGGTGTCAGGGGATCTTCTTTCCCCTCGTGTACGGTGACATTTTTTAATCCAGTAATTTAAAGTGAACAACTGATATTCTTCTTCTTTGTCTTTGTTTACCAGCTGTAGTCTCTGATGGAAAGTCCTGGTTGTTCATCCACTTGGACTTTGGCTGTGTGCCAGGACCTGAGTTTTGCATGTACATCCATTTAACTGGTTTATTTGTGTGCAGATGCTTGTTCCTTGCTGCTCGGGCAGATGAACTCCAACCTTGAAGGAGCCTCCAATTGATCGACCTTTGTGACATGCTTGTTGGGGAGGCAGTGGGTCTGTTGTTTTTCCCGCAATGTGGCGCTGGAACCCACACAGAGAATGGGAATTGAAGATGAAAGCACTGTTTTCTGAAGTCCTGTTAATTATTGTCGAAAACTGTCAACATAAGCAAATACATCTTATTGTCTTTTAGAGTTTAAGTATGGATTCAGAATTACTACGTCTTCCTCTCTAAGTCATTTTTAGCATCAGGTTTTGAAGAGGCATCGGGTGTGAGCTCTGGTATGTGCTGTGTAAGTGATGATATTTATGGCCTTGGAAATTCCCTCTATCCATCGCTTACGGAGTCCACCTCTGGCTGTGCTTTCATTGTGTCTATGAGATAGGGCTCTCTGTAGTGCACTGTCTGGTGATGGTCTTGACACATGTCCAAACCATTTCATGTATTGTCTCTTGATGTCATTTAGTATTGGTTCAGATTCAGAATTGAAACTGGTATAAACAAAGATAGGTTGAGGTTATACTCAGTTTGTGACAAAATATATATTTTTGTGCTTTTTTTTTTTTTTTAGCACAGATGCCAAACAATTTATTAAAAGTCATGTTTTTCCTGTTGTAATCTTCATACTGCCTTTTGAATGTGTAATATATTGTATCTTTAACACTACCCGAAAGTGACCTAAGTACAGTTTTGGTAATATTTACCTCCTTAATACATTTTCGGGGCCTTTTTTTTTTTGGGTCACTTTACAACATGCCAATGGCACACATATGAATTCCTACTCCAAATAGTTCAAAATAAAGTACTACTTTTCTGGCATCTATACATATTTTCATCTAATCTCAACATTTTTTTTAAAGCAAGTATTTATGGTCAGATGACCTTGGCGTAGTGTGACAGTGATTTGCTGACACCTACTTGTCTAGAAGCAGTTATACCCAGATTACACTGGGAATCTAGAAAATGAAAGAGGAACTTAGAGCTTCAAGATTGTGAAAAACTAAAGAAATGAAGAAAATATAAACCCTACAAATTTCTCCCCTTGCCAGACTGATTGGAACTTTCATAAATTGGTGGGACAGCCATATTACATGTGTATCTTAGTACGGCTACACTCACAGAAATAGCTGGCACCCCCCACACACACACACATATCCAAGTTTTTCAGTGTTTTTTATTGATCATTTATTGTTCACATTGTGAGAATTGTGTATCAGTGATGCAGGAATTAAGTGCCATGCTGTCAACATTTTAACAAAGTTTGCAAGGTTTAGAATTGAAGCTATCACTTCGGAATGATACAGATTGTGCAAACACAAGCTGTATAATAAGTGCCTAACACAACAACAGATACAATTTCAGAATATTTGAATGATGCAGACACAAACAATACATTGCATAGTTTAGTGCGTGACATACATCAGCATATAATGAACCACAACAGAATTCTGTTCACTGAATAGGTTAGTTGTGTATCCTTTACAGGACGTTGCAGAACCAACCCCAACAGGCCCTGGCTGTTGTGTAGTTTTTCTAGGCAAATTTACGTCCAGTAGTTTGTTCACTGAATACACAAATCATAATGTCTCACACTGTTCTAGAAGTATCCTCTGAATATACTTTCCATCTACCGCCAGGAGTATCTAGAGGGATTTTGCTTTTTTATTTTTTTTTTGTATCGCGACTTTTATAAATGAGGGTTTCTTAGTCTTTAATACGTTTCTCTTGCATTCAGATGGAAACAAATTCCTCTGGCAATTCGAAAGAATGCAAGAAAAAGTCTAAAACAGATGTTGGAAAAGATGTCAGCAAAAGTGCCTGGTCACGCATTAAAGTGAAGCCCACAGTACAGAATCCAGGTATTTATATTATACTATGAATTATATTTTGATGTTGGAGTCTATTACATTGCTGATTCCTGTTAAATTGTCCCAGTTAATATTCACAACCATCTTTAGATGCCTGTGTCTGAAATGTTCTTCTTCTTACTTCTTGTTCTGCCTTTGTCTTTAAAAGGGCATTTGACATGTGGTTTACAACTAAGCTGTGGTATCTGCACCTTTTTTGCCCAGTTTCAGCAGATCCTTAATTAGTTGCCATTTACAACATACCTGTTAAGAAGCAGTAGATCTGTTTTGTCTTTTTCCCTTGGATCCTACACAGGGATGTGTTCTGATTTTACCTGGCTCATTACTCAGCCCAGCATTTTCAACTTCTGATTTCACGATCTTTGGTTCATTTTCTTGTGCAGATTTATTTTGGTATGGCACTTCATCCGGTGTTCCACATTTTAACAGCTTGCTCAATATTTTTTCCATCTGTTTTTAAAATCTTGACTGTTGGTGACTGGTTTCTTACTCTTGCTATAAATAACAGTAGATGGGTTAAACTTTTCTTCTCTGTCTCATTGCTTTGACACTTCTGTAAAACTGTCTTGGTGACTCAGTGCATAGTTTCGCTACTTGTTCTCCATAGTCTGCCGAAGATTCTGATTTTGCTGCTTTTACTTCTCTTTTGCTGCCTCTTCTCACTTTTTTAGTCATCATCTGCCACTTACAGAAACTTTTTTTTTCCTAGATAGAAATTTCAACATCTTCATTCTACATCATTGTATGTTTTCTATGAGTGCCCAGCGTTTTGAGGCCACAGTTCTCTTTCACTGTGTCCAAGATTCAGGCTTTAAAAGTCTGCCACTCATCTTCTGACTTTTTGTTTTGTTTCTGTAAGGGTGCTGAAGGAGATTAGGCTTGTTCTGTTTCCTCCGCAACTTCTTTGTCTTTTAATTTCCTAATGTTTATTACCTCTGTTTGTTGAGCTTACTTCTTGGGGTGTGTTCCAGCTGGTTTCTTTAACTTTACCGATGGTTTCACTTAATTTGTGAAATAATTCTATTCTTTCTTCAAGCTTGTATGTATAATTACACAGGACGTATACTTGGATGTATGTTAACCTCTTGCTGCCTAGTGCTAGCCAGATACTCATAATTCTGTCTGATATGTAGTGTGTTTCTAGTATCAACTTAACTGTTTCTGAGCAATAATGAATCCCACTCCATGTTTGTTAGCCTTGTTTGGTTGGGTGCCTATCCCTGTAAGTGTAATTTTTATGTATTTAATTTATATATCCCCATGATTTTATTTTAATTTTAATCATGAATTCTACCAGTCAAGTCTCTTTGTCTCCCATTTCACTGATGTTCTAAGTAGCCATCCTAAACATTGTTTTGCTGATTGGTCTATAAAATATAAATCTAGTACTATATGCCCTATACGCCTAATTGTATGGAAAAGAGTCCTGTACTTTCTTTACTTTACTTTATAGTAAATGGGGAAAGTGCAGTATTGCAGTGGCTGGCATGCTGCCATGCTAGCACAGTATTTGTGTGCTTGAATTCCTGGGTAGCTGGCATGCTACCATGCTAGCACAGTAGTTGTGTGCTTGAATCCCTGGGTAGCTGGCATGCTGCCATGCTAGCACAGTAGTTGCATGCTTGATTCCCTGGGTAGGTTGATTCAGCTTTAAAATCTGTTTTTAAAAATGTTTGGGTAAATAAGGGTTAAAGGTGAGAGGATTTAACTTCGTTGCACTGGGTTTTGTCACACGTGGCTCGGTCTCTCTCCGCAGAAGATGCTCTACTCTCCTGACAGGAGTGGCCCCCCCCCTCCCCCCCCAAAAAAAGCTTGTTTTGGAAATGTTACCTTCAAAGTTACAATGGATCTGTCAGAGAGATGAGTTATAGCGAACACTGTGTATTGTCTTTCTTCAGATGCTTTGTTAGTGGTGTGTAGCATGTGTGACATCTCCAGTTCAAGTGTCAGAACCGGACAGTGTAAAAATGGCCATGCTGTCTGCCAGACCTGTTTGGAAGATCATGTCCGCTTGGTTATGGCATCAGACAAGGTAATATCTTTGTGGTGCTAACAACTTATTTATTTGCCAGATTTGTTGTTAAATTCAATTTTCTTCTTAGAAATTGCTGGTTAAAGCATTGGCTAGTATACCTGTTTTCTGGCCTTGTGGTCGTGCGCTCAAACCCCAGTTAAGAGGAATTATTAGCCCTTTTGCCCTGGCAACCTAAAAAAAAAACATGTATTTTGGGAATTCCTGAGGCAAAATCCTATAAAAACATTACACACAGATCACACACACAAATCCTAAAAATTCCATTTATGGACCGAAGCAAGAGTACATTTTTGTACAGAATAAGATTGGTAATCGGTAAACATGAACACAGCAGAGATAATTAATTGTCTGATCTCTCTTTGATCTTTCAAAACCATTTATATAGTGACTCAAACTGGGGACCAGTAAATGCTATTTTTAGTAAATATAATCAGTTCTAGTCCTCCTGAATGTTTGCCCAGGCACAAACGATGCCAGTGCTGTCAGCTTTGCTTCTCGTGGACAAGCCACAATAGCAAAATTGGTAAAGCAACATTTACGGGTGATCGGACGTAACCGAGAGTGCCATTTTTACCGCTTTTTAAGGTGACCTTAATTTCTCATCCCCCCCTTTTTTTAATAGGGTTATTTTTTTTTTTTAGTTCTACGTCACGGGACCAGTCAAATAATTCTGAGGGTGGTAAGATAGTGCTTTCTCAGCAGTGCGTTTCTACCTTCCTTTTAGAGCGTGTTGCCAAGGGATGCGCTAGCGCCTCTTACTTGTCATCTTGTTCCAGTCTTTATCGGGGCTGGGGCATGTCATCGAATGCAACTGTAGACTGGAGCAGCTACTAACGGGAGGTTTGTGCCAATACATTATTATTGAATCCTGCAGTGATCGGCGGAGAGAAGACCACTGTTAAAAGTGATAAAAGTCTGGGCAGAAAAATCATGGGGGATATGTGTTTCCACAACAGTGGATATTCGGTGGAGTCTGTTGCGAGACTGGTGAATGCTGAATGATCTGCACTCCAGACAGAAAAGAAGAGATGCTTCTGCCGGTCATTAGCACAAACATCAGACCCGGCACGCGACAGTGGTCTCCGACATGCGGCGTGCATACAATTGGAATTGCGAATATTCCTGAATTGACGCATCTCACCGTCATTCACTCCATCAATTTTGTTGACCCCATCACATATCACAGGTGCACATATGCAATGCATCGAACATATGTGGATGTTGGCAAAGGAGAGAAGAAACTAGCGCTACAATGGGACCCACTGTGGCGTAGCATTGCTAGCGTGTTACATTGTTGTGATTGTCAGTTCGTGCATAAACCCAGCAGTATACATCTAGAATTATTGGCCCCTTCCCTTTTAGGGCCCCCAAAGTACCCCAGTTGACAATTTTTCTGACTGCACATAGATTTTCTCCGATTGCAGTTTCATACACACAAACACACAAATATATTGCTAATCATAATTAATTGTATACCATGTTAATACTCTTATGTTTGCTTAAATAATTAATACTTTGGTGATCCGTTGCTAAAAGTGTGCTAAGAGCAAAAGTTTACAATTTACAATTTTTTTTAATTTAAGAAAAAAAAAACTGCAGTGGTGGTTGAATGCGGCACCTTCTGATTGCTCATCAACACACAGAAATATGCCACACCAAAACACAGCACACTTTCACCCCCTGAAATAGTCAACTTCCTGTCTGCTGTTGATTTCGTCAGGATTTCCCGTGTTTGGGGTAACTAAAAAATAAAGCGCCATAGATAGTAATAAATAGTGAAAGCAGATGGTGCAAGCTCCATATTTTTTTTAAGACCACCGAGCAGTCAACAGATAAATAGTGTGGTTAATATCATGTTGGCCACCTTTGCTTCCCAGAACACATCCTGGTACTCATTGTTTGGCTAGGTTAACCAGTTACTCCAGATCAGTTTGACAAACACAAAATGCTGCACGTCGATGGGGATTTGAAGCTGTAATCATCAGACCGGGGTTCAAACATGCAAGCTCTTCACTACAGCAACTCTAATGAACATAATACTAGGTTTGTTTCGCAGATCAAATGGCACTAAATGGGTATTAGAGATGTAGGGAGCACCTTACCAGCTGCTACACCTCTTACCTCTTGGACAATTTTTCTGATACCAGCTTTGAGACTTCATTGACCCCCACAGCCACATAGGTAATAATGTTATGATAGCTTTAAACATTTTGCTCTGTGGGTGCTTGAAAAATTTGGTCCTAAATCTGTAGGAAAGAAGCTAAAAAAAAATGGGTGTTGTGTCTGTGGGAAATCTACAAATATTCCTTAAAAAATAATTTTGCACAAATCGATAAGAATTTGAAAATAAAAATGTATCTGCATTTAAACAGAACTGTGTATATATATATATATATATATATATATATATATATATATATATATATATATATATATATATATATATATATATATATATATATATATATATATATATATATATATATATATATATATATATATATATATATACAAGAAATAATCAATGAACATGAAGAGGGTGAAGCATTAAATGGGGCTTAAATAATATATAGCGTATGATTCATGGAAAATTTGAGGCAAACATGGCTTTAAAAATGCCTATTGGTTTACAAGACACCCTCCACCCCCTCCTTTTTTTTTCCTTCTGTGCTATTCTAGTAAATATATTTATATCCTGGCCACTTAGATGCAGCAGAGGCACAGACACAACCAATGACACTAAGTTACTGGGAAACACACCACTGTATGAAAGTTGGTTAAAAAAAACATTTTCAGCGGACAAGACCCGAACTGAAGTTTTGGGTTTTTGTGTCACTCTTGCAGTCTATTTCTACCAACACATGAACATCTCATAAGAATTATTGATACTGCTTATGTTTTGAAAGAGTTTCAGTATTTTTTTTTTTTTTTTAACAGGTGCATTTGTCCTGTCCGGAGATGTCCTGCAATGCTGCCATTTCTCTAGGTAACTTGTTTTGCACACTTTATTTGTATTTCCTTGTCTTTTCTCTGTGTATGTCTTTAAGGTCATGGTGGCCTGGAGAGGACAGCATGGAGGGGGTCAGTTTCCAGAACATGATGTAGAGGCAGACCTCCACGAAGTTGGATGCAAGACAATTAAGATGCATTGGTTCTGGAAACACATAGGGCTGGAGAATTACCTAGAGAAAGAGACTTTCAGGCAGGCTTTGAGGAGAGTGACCTTATGCAAAGGACCAGCTAATGGATGATGATGATAAAACCGTTTAAGCTAACAGTCGAAGGCAACTGATCACAGAATGCAGTCGTCATCTTTTTGCTACATCATAACAATAGGAAGACAGGAATTCATTTCAACAACTAGAAAGATTTATCTAAACAAAAGAAAGAGGCAGAAAGAAAAAAACGAGAGAAGATTCTTGATATATTTAGCTGGTGGCTGCATGTCATTTCTAACCCTTGGAGGCCTAAAAAGTGGCCCAGCTGTATTTTATCAGTGATCTTTCAATACTGGTCCTCAGTCTGGCCCGTGACAATCTTCATTTTTCTAATTCTGGTCCTTGAGTAAACTTAGTTGAATAGCCATGTCATAGAGCAGGGTTTTTCAACTAAATTTGCTCAGGGGCCAAAATTTTGAAAATGGGCATCGCCACAGTCTCACGCCCCAGCATAAACAGCTCATTAATATAGTACAACTGGCAATGATCCGTGGGCTAGATTTGGCCCGCTGGCCGCTAGTTAAATAGCCCTGTCATAGAGTGTAAGAAACTCTTCACAGACGATCTTCACTGAGGAAGTGGCTCTTGATTGACTAACTGGAGAGCAAGTTTGTAACCGGTGTTTTAGAGCATTGATCGGTTAGAAAGTATTTTGGTAGAGCAGTGTACTCAAGTAAAAGTAAAAGACCCTCTTCAGTAAGAGACAAACCTGACATGTGGTGCTGGTCCTGTATCTTTAGAGGCCAGTCAGCGCTTCATGAGGGATGTGGTCAACATCATGCCGGCCGCCTTTACTTCACAGGAATTTTTTTCATTTTGGAGAGCAAAATGGAAGATTCAGCTGTTGTATAAATGCTACAATAGAATGATGATGATAATTTTAGCGTGGGTTTGCCTGAGCTCGTGGATCAATTTTTCAATATCTGCCTGGTGAAATGTCACAAAACAATGATTAACAGGTCAGTAGACAGGCACTGAAATGAGAGGTGGTGAGAGTTACATGGGTATTTTGCTTGGGCCATTCAGGTGTGTTTGGGAATAAGCAGGCAGATAGGCTAGCTGGAATGGCCCTATTTGGGGGTGTACTGCAACTGCACAAGGCAGAGGTGATCTCAAACCTGTGGGGCAGGGTAACAGGTGAAATGAAAGATACTGAAAATCCGTACCTGGAGAGAATGACACAGCGAGGAGTGGCTGTGGGCTCGGGTCATCACTCGTGACTCAGAGAGAAGGCAGGACAATTAGTTAACCAGATGACAAGGGGTGCCATCTGTATGGAGACTCTTCACTGTCTGTTGAGGAGGTAGGCGGAGCTAATTTGGGAGTGTCCTGAATCCTGAGATGTCGTATTTTTGCCCGGATGAACCAGACAAGCCGCTAGACAAATCATGATTGACAATGATATAAAGAAAAGTAGAATTCTGATTTTAGAAATCCTATAATCGTTTGTCGGCATCTGTGGCTAAGGCGTTTCTAATGCAGTTTGTAATTCCAAGGTACCCAGTTCAACCCCCAGCTGCAGGTTATTTGGCAGCAAAGAACTTTGCTTTGGTTTAGACAGTGGATTTGAGAAATGACTATTCAGAAAGCAGTGACGGATTACTGAACTTTTTTGTTTTGTAAGTTTCTTTGCTTCCCTCTCTAATTTCATGTGTGATTTGGAATGTTTTTGGCCCTTTACAACCATTTCTTTCAGTGACTAACATTGTGATATATCATCCTCAGATTCCTTGTCTCATGTGCTGCCTCCTTTGGTAGTGGACATCTTGAATGATAACCTTCGCCTGAAAGCACAAAAGGCAACAGCTAAAGCTATGAAGAAAATGCGGGAACTGGTTATGTAAGAGATATGTTTGTAAATATCGTCTTCTTCTTTTTCATAATATTCACTGGCTGTAAACTATGATGGAAGGTTCTAGTTTTTTTTTTTTTTTTAAATCAATTCTGGGATTTTGTTCTTATTTTAGAACTTGAGTTGTGCATACACATTCACTTCACAGATCATTACTGGGCAGACTGTTGGTTCCGTGCCTCAGGCAGATCTTCTAATTCATCATCATCATTTACCCTGTCAGTAATCCCAGGCGGTCATATCACACACAATCACCAGAATTACAGATCAGCTCCGTGCTCTTGCCTTGCCTTTATTACTGTAGCCAAGCATCCAGGTATTTATCTATTTGTCTTCGCTTTGCTTTTTTCCCCCATCAGTCTTGCCAGCTATCACTGAGTATTTTGTTTTCGTTAAGTTTATTCATTCACATGTCTAAACGTATTTATGGTCTACATGTGCATTCACTCATTAGTTTAGTTAGCTGAGTATCTTTAACAGGATATTGCAGAACCAGTCCCAGTCTTTTTTGATTGTCCATGATTTCACTAGACAATTTTATGTTCACTAATTCGCCGTTGCTTTCTGAGCAGTCAGCTCTCTATACCAATGCAAGGCGGTCTGCTTCTCCATAATTACAAAACATATTCGCAACACAGCCACAGGCATCGACTAATCAGCTTACGCTCTCTCAATATGGGTTGAGGGCATCGCAGCCAGATTGTGTAACCCAGATTTTTTTAAGACTTGAAAGTCTTCTTCTTCTGTGTTTATCCGAAGATGTAACTGCGTTGTGTCCGTTTACAGGATGGCTGTGATATTTGCACCTTTCGGCCAACACATCCGACTTCTGCGGGCATTTGTTGACTGGGTTAGCCTTCCCGGTTAGGACATGGCAGTCTCATTGTTGTGTGGTCATCTTTATTTTCCAGGTCACAGGTGGTGCCCCAATCAGGCTGATCCAGAGAAGCCACATAATGCTGATCAGCCCTCAAGAGAAGGCAGGGACAGAACATGAGCATTCCCCGCCATCCAAGGAGGCTTCCACAAGTGCAGAGCTGATACATGGTGCTCTGGTACTGGGCTCACCCAAGGAATCGTCATGTCCTGCTCATGACTGTTTAACCTCACTTCCATATATTGAACATCTCATACATCATGGGCTATCTCTATTGTAGCCAACAGTATGCAGCTTGCAGACCTAGGATTTAATTTACCTACTCCACAAAATGAGTACTTTGCTTCTTTTGCATGTTAGACTTGAAAGTCTAGAGACAACTTATTGCAAACATCAGGAGACGAAGGTCCGAAGGCAGCTTATCATAAAACATCAAAAGGAGACGAAGGTCTGAAGACAGCTTATCATAAAACATCAGAAGGAGACGAAGGTCCGAAGACAGCTTATCATAAAACATAAAAAGGAGACAAAGGTCCGAAGACAGCTTATCATAAAACATCAAGAGAAAACTAGGGTCTGAAGACTACTTATCGCAACAATTGGAGATGAGGGTCCAAAGCAGCTTATCTCAAAACTGGAACATGTTGCAAACGCTGGAAACAATGATGGAAAGAGATTTAGAAGAAAATAATCTTTTTTTCTTAACATGGAGAGGTGCCAGCACAACAGCTGATGAAAGCTGTTAGAGATTGCAGAAGAGGCATGATCATTCACGCTAGTCAGCAAGGCATTTGATAATGATGTAGTTATAAAGCGAGATGTTATTAGCCATAGCTCCCCAAAAAACAGTCTTTTATGTAGATGAGGAAGGCAAGGGATAACTCATGTTGACATTCCACAAATTTGTTTAGGACCATGATGTTTCTGGCACTTTCTGTCTTTCCAGATGATGGTAATACATTGGAGTATGGGTGGGGGTGGTTGTGTTTGCTTTCAAGGGGAGTGTGGCACGGAGTATTGTGGTTCACAGCTAGCCAGTGACATTCAATTTTTGCCTTTTACAGCAAGCTTCTTAGTGGGTAAACAGTAAATTGTCAATTTTTCCAATAGAGCTCTGGAACCCGCATCTTTATATTGAATAAATGAGCAGTCTGAAAGCAAACTTAATTATGAATTGACCTGTTAGATTCGTTAGTTGTTCTTCGGATTTAAAAATAAACCTGACATGACAGATGGTTTGATGAGGACATTTCTTCAATAACAGATGCACTTGTTGATTAACATAGTTAGGTTTCTGTCTTTTGTTCCAATATCAGATACCCTTGCTGCTGATCAGTATCATCAGGTTTCTGTCTTTTTGTTCTAATATCAGATACCCTTGCTGCTGATCAGTATCATCAAGTTTCTGTCTTTTTGTTCTAATATCAGATGCCCTTGCTGCTGATCAGTATCATCAAGTTTCTGTCTTTTGTTCCAATATCAGATACCCTTGCTGCTGATCAGTATCATCAAGTTTCTGTCTTTTTGTTCCAATATCAGATACCCTTGCTGCTGATCAGTATCATCAAGTTTCTGTCTTTTGTTCCAATATCAGATACCCTTGCTGCTGATCAGTATCATCAAGTTTCTGTCTTTTGTTCCAATATCAGATACCCTTGCTGCTGATCAGTATCATCAAGTTTCTGTCTTTTGTTCCAATATCAGATACCCTTGCTGCTGATCAGTATCATCAAGTTTCTGTCTTTTTGTTTTAATATCAGATACCCTTGCTGCTGATCAGTATCATCAAGTTTCTGTCTTTTTTGTTCCAGTATCAGATACCCTTGCTGCTGATCAGTATCATCAAGTTTCTGTCTTTTTGTTTAAATAACAGATGCCCTCATTGTGCCTGCCCTGGGATGCTGGATGAATGGACACTGCAGTTTGTCTGTGGCACATGTAACAGTGTAAGGAAACTTTTCAACCTTCTAGATAATTGTAGACTGCGATTTCCTTGTGTACTTGAGGCCCATAAGAGAAGCCATGAGTGTTAACACTGTAACCTACATGCAGGAAACACACTGACATCCTACACGATCTGAGTATCGAAGAGAATTGGCTCATAAAGAGCATTCTGTCCTAAAAACTGAAGTATTTTGGCCATATTGAGCATCATGGTAGCCTGGAGAGAACAGTGATGTAGGGCACAGATTTGCAGAAAATGAGGCAGATGTGGATACAAGACATTGAAGATGCATCAACTATGAAGACAAACAGGGCTGGAATTCTGTGTGGATTCCAGGGCCCTATTATAGGGAAAACAAGAATAGACCCACTGCCTACCCAAAAGCATGTCATAGGAGTTGTGGTAAGAGTCGACTAATTGCAATCTTCCTTTGAAGTCTGAGTGCATCTGCCTGAGAGGCAAGGAACCAACAGTCTGCACACAAATGTGTCAGATCTGTCAAATGGATTCACAAGCAACACTCAGGTTCTGGAACTGGACTGCAGTCCAGAAGTGGCCAAACAACCAAAACCTCCCACCAGAGTTTACAGCTGGTGAACGCAAACAAGAAGAAGAAATAGGGCTGGAGAATTTCAGGTGTGTCGTGACATTCTGTGGATTGATAATAAATCTACCTGCAAGTTGAAGAAGGGAGCTAAGAAGGGTTGGCGTGACAGTAACTAGCAAATTCCATAGAAAACTGTAACTGCAGAACCTGCCCTACCATGAGCAAGTCTGCATAGGGCTTGGTATTATTGATAAAGGGTTAATGTTAATCAGTTCTAAAGCTCAGTGAAACACAAGCTTTTCTACCACTGCAAGGGGAAGACACATCAGAGGGGATTCCCTGGATTTTAAAGAGTTAATTTTGTATCAGAATTCATATGTGGGTTTCGGTACCCAATTTTTTTGGGGGGGGGGGGTGATGGAGGTATACTCACTTTGCGCAAAATAAGCATGTCATCAAAGTCAACTAATTAGGGAGGTTTCCTTTAAAGGAGTGCATCTGCCTGAGAGGTGAGGAACCAGTAGTCTGCATACAACTGATCCAGGTCTGTAAAACGGGTGTGCCCCCAAAATCAAGTTTTCAAGTCCAGAAGTGGATTAACTATCAGAACTTGTTGCCGGAGTTTACAGGCGGTGGACACCAAGAAGAGGATGAGACAAACTTCTGGGGCTTAATAGAACACACAGGCCCCTCTACACTACAAGGTGGAGACTCATCAGAGGGGATTCCTTGGGGCTGAAGGAGTTCATTTCATATTAAAGGTGGTTTTTCAAGAAATAATTATTTTTTTTTAGGGTTAAAGCTAACATTTAACGTTTTTATCAGAAACTGGATATGTCTGAGAAGACCTGAAAGAAACAGGACTTCTGATGCAGCTAGCTTTTCAGTCTGTTGTGCTGATGGTTCCAATACTGATGGTATTGGAACAATCAGTATTAGAACTCTGCGCTGGCTGCTGAAGATGAGGACGGAGCATGCATGGGAATGCTCCTAGTGCTGTGATGTCAATTCTTGACTCAACTCAATTCAACCCAAGTCTGTAATAAAGATTTTTCTGTCTGGTTTCTATTTCCAGAACTGTTGCCGCTACTGTAAAGCTGCATGGTTTCGTTATGAGGAACATGATGGTTGTTTTCTGCTGAGTTTTGTGGGTGCGGAATGTCTCCAAGATATTGTGAAAGTGCCACGCAACTGGGATGTGAGCATCACACCCTTTAATAAGGTCAGTGGAACCTAATACGAGTAGGTCATTACTTGTGTGGCTTTTAATAAGGTCACTGTGGAAGTCACAAGTGGATAGATGTTAGTCTGGGCTTTTATGAGGTAATTAGAAGACAGTTCAGGTGGATAGTTGTTTGCGTCTAGACCTGTAATGATGTCAGTGGCAGACAGTTCAAGTGGATAGTGGTTAGTTCCTGGGCCTTTAGTGAGGTCAGTGGCAGACAGTTCAAGTGGATAGTGGTTAGTTCCTGGGCCTTTAGTGAGGTCAGTGGCAGACAGTTCAAGTGGATAGTGGTTAGTTCCTGGGCCTTTAGTGAGGTCAGTGGCAGACAGTTCAAGTGGATAGTGGTTAGTTCCTGGGCCTTTAGTGAGGTCAGTGGCAGACAGTTCAAGTGGATAGTGGTTAGTTCCTGGGCCTTTAGTGAGGTCAGTGGCAGACAGTTCAAGTGGATAGTGGTTAGTTCCTGGGCCTTTAGTGAGGTCAGTGGCAGACAGTTCAAGTGGATAGTGGTTAGTTCCTGGGCCTTTAGTGAGGTCAGTGGCAGACAGTTCAAGTGGATAGTGGTTAGTTCCTGGGCCTTTAGTGAGGTCAGTGGCAGACAGTTCAAGTGGATAGTGGTTAGTTCCTGGGCCTTTAGTGAGGTCAGTGGCAGACAGTTCAAGTGGATAGTGGTTAGTTCCTGGGCCTTTAGTGAGGTCAGTGGCAGACAGTTCAAGTGGATAGTGGTTAGTTCCTGGGCCTTTAGTGAGGTCAGTGGCAGACAATTCAAGTGGATAGTGGTTAGTTCCTGGGCCTTTAGTGAGGTCAGTGGAAGACAGTTCAAGTAAATAGTTGTTAGTCTCTGGGCCTTTAGTGAGGTCGGTGGAAGACAGTTCAAGTAAATAGTTGTTAGTCTCTGGACCTTTAGTGAGGTCAGTGGAAGACAGTTCAAGTAAATAGTGGTTAGTTCCTGGGCCTTTAGTGAGGTCAGTGGAAGACAGTTCAAATGGATAGTTGTTAGTTCCTGGGAGTGAGGTCGGTGGAAGACAGTTCAAGTGGTTAGTTATTAGTTTGCCAATCTGTCTATAACAAGGTTATTAATTAGGTTTGCAACTACTGATCTGTTGTAACTGCTGCTTTCATCGATGGTGGCCTGCATTTCTAGTGTTGGTCTATGTAAAAAATGTTTTTGAGGGACAGTGAAAAACATTCTGTGTGATTTCGTTGACACATGAATGGAGCAACTATGGGGTGATTTACATGTTTGGTGATTTACATGTTTGGTGATTTACATGTGGCATCTTTGCCAGGTTTTCTAGCGAAATTAAGTAGCTATTGTAGCCTTTGGGGATGAAGCCTTTACAGATGCTGTTGTTGTACGCTTTACATAGGTCACTCATGACTGTTGCTGGCAGCTTTCAGCATCTTCATATTGAATTGCTTCATAGCCTGGAGTAGTCTTTTTGATGTTCTGTTAGTGTTCTTGATTTCAGCAACTGTTGTTGGCAGATCATCTTTAATGCCTGCACCAGTAAAATTTGCAACTAACATTTCCCTAGTGGTCAGCGGTGTAGCAGTGTCTTGCGTACAAGTTTGTTTGATGTATCTGTCAAGGATAGGAGTTAAGAATGTGGTATGTGTTTGTGTATATATTTTAAATAAGATGAATATTAGATATAAACATACTATGTGGTGTGCGTATGTATATGGCTATATTCACATGATTCAGATATGAAAGTGGTATGTGTGTGCCCTTTAATAATATGAATAGGAGTTTAGGAGAATGGTTTATGTTAGGGCTATTCAACTGGTGGCCCACCAGTGTGTGTTGTGTGTATGTACCTTTAATCAGATGAAAAGATGATAAGCAGAATGTGGTGTATGTGCTTTTCTCTTAGAATAAGCTCATTTCCATGGTCCTGTTTGTATGTGCATCCAGTGAACTCAGATAGTTTGTATTTTTCTGTCGGCCTCATGTTACTTGGCCCCTGTCCCTAAAAGGATCATAACTGCCTATAGTAAGGTCAGCTGAAGATAACACAAACACATATTAGTGTGTAAGACTTCTTCATCTCTTCTTCACATTCACCTGCTGTAAATTTCTGGTTGTTTATCCACTTCTAGACTCTAGTCTTGTTCAAGAAACTGAGTATTGCATGCACATCTGTTTTACAGGTCTGACTCATCTGACTGTTGGATTTTTGCCTCTCAGGAAGATGTACTTCGGCTTCGAAGGAAGCTCCCAATTAGTTGAATCTTTCGACATGCTTTGGGTCTGTTCTTATTTTTCCTTACAATGCGACTGGAACGCACTCAGGGATAATGTGTATACGCAAGCTCACCCATTTTCTTTGAATAAGATAAAGGTTAATATCTCGGCATATGTAACTTGGGTGTTGGGAATATGCATCATAAATCCGAGGTGCTGGGAGCAGTTAGGCAACAGACTGCCTTGTCTTGATTTCAACAGTGTTATCAAGACCTGACCGTTCAGAAAGCTTGTTTGAAGTTTGAACATAGGAACACAGGTAGTAACACATAAGTGCTCCGTTCTTTCTTCTAACTCAAATCTGAGTCCTAAGAAGCTCAGCACAGTGCACAGGCTCTATAGCACCCGCGAGGATCCTGAAATACTTTGGGTAGATTTTTAACTCAAAATTTTGCCCAGGCAGTGCCTTTATCTACTCTTTTCGATTTCCAACTGCCAAGGGATTTTTTACGATCGTAACAATGCACACGGGCGTCTGATCTCACTACCCAGAGACCGGGGGGAAATACTAGAAGTCCAAGTCCATGTGAAAAGATCCCAGCCCTTACCGGGGATTGAACCTGGAACCTCTAGCACTCGAGGTGGACACCATGCCCCGAGACCAGGCAACCCACCTAAACTACTGAAAGTAAACTTGTCAAGTGAAATTACAGATAGCCAAAGAAAATGCTGGGGTTCATTCTGCAACATCTTGTAAAGGACATGAACCACCAATTTTTTTTTTAAAGAAAGAAAACATTTACCAGGTTGCTTGTTTATTGCTTATGATCAGCCCATGCATACAAAAGTATGGCTTGTGTATAGCACTTTTAAATTGCTGTTTTTCTCATTGTTAAAATATTAGTCTGGCTCAGCCTATTTACATAATTGTTTTATTTAACAAATAATTTTTGCAAATAGAATTATCTGCTGGTGAACATATCTTTGTTACATATTTTGATTATTTAATGTCTTTTTAATATGTTTTTCTGCTTATAGAATTACGTGCAGGTGAATGTACCCTTGGACAGTGCTGAAGGATCTACTGTAGCCGCATTCTTTGCCAAGACATCATCACGTGGTGCGAACGTCATCCAAGTTTTCCGCATACAGAACAGAAAGTTGTGGGAAAAATATGTTTTGTAAGTATGGCATATCCACAAGTGCATAGAAATAAAGGCAGATCCGAACAAACAGAAGGAGAAGTAAACTAGAGACCCTTTCACCCTAGTAACCCTTTCACCCCAATAACCCTTTGAAGAAATACCAACAAACTTGGGAAATTCCCTTAGGAAAACCTTTTTAAAAAACGTCACTAATAATTTATTCGCACTTATACTTTAAAATAATAAAGCGCATGCACACACACACACATATATACACACACACATAGGGGAATAATCAGTAAACACAAATGAAACAGAAAGTTAAATGATTTCTTTCCATTGGGTTTTTAATTTAAAAAAAACATTTCATATGTTTATTCATACCTTTACACGTTACTACAGCCTAAAACTCTCTCTAGCTGTAAACAGTGGAAAGTTCTGGTTTTTCATTCACTTTTCGCACCACGTGATGACTTTAGTCTTGTTTTATAACTAGAGTTTTTTTATGCACAGCTGTTTTAGAGACATGGCTTAAAAGAGTGCGATAACATAAGTAGTCATGTTTACTTTCTTTATCTTTCAGAAAACGAAAGCATGTTGAAGAGGAAATCGGTACAGCAGAACTGAAAGAGAAATTTCTCTTTCACGGAACCAGAGCTGAAAATATAGTCAGCATATGTTCAGAAGGGTTCGATATTAGAGTGCCCACTGCCAATGGAGCTCTTCTGGGAAAAGGTACTTGATTTTTTTTTGGGGGGGTGGGGGAGTGGTGGATTTTGTTCTTGTTTTTTTGTTAGATAAAGTAGCTTATCTTAGAAGGTTAGTTGCATATTGTTTACAGAACAAATTCCACCATTTATTAGCTATTTGTAGTTTTACCAGACAAATAACTAGTTTGCCATTGTTTCCTAAATGGTCGACACTCACACTGTTGTCAAAATCTGCACAAAGCAGTATGCTGTCAAATCATCTGATTTACAGATTTGGCTTATGTGTATGCATAATGTCGGTTCCTAAGGCGCTGAGAGTCCTACTCGTAAGCCAGCATACCGCGATCGAAACCCACTGCAGGCTGCGTGGATTTTTGTCGTGGTATGGGACGTCGCAGGTCGACCCAGCCTAAAATGGGTACCAGGATGGGCTGTCCTGGGAAAGTAAAGACAGTCGGCGTAATGCTGACCACAATACCCACAAAGTGCTGATGGTCTGTAAAAATATGGGACGCTCTGCCCATATGCCCGATGCGCCGAAAGGCGTGAAAAGGGAACTTTACTTTTTACTTTTTTATAATGTCGGTTCCTTGCCTTTCAGGCAGACGCACTCTGACTTCAGAGGAGACAGCCCTAATTACTTGCATTGTATGACAAGCTTGTTAAAGGGGCAGTGGGTCTATTCTCTCTCCAACCCCCCCCCCCATATGAAATGGGGTCCAGAAACCCACATGGGGAGTGTGTGTTTCATCACCTCTGCATCATCATCATGTATGGTTGAACCCTTGTGCATCCCTGTGTGCTGATCATTTCTGTGTTAGTTCTTCATGTCCTATATTATCTGTTCTCATCACTCTTCCCTGTGGGTTGAAAAATCCTCCTGAGTGTTCTTCTTTGCAACATTGTGCTTCACCGTGGGGAGGGGGAAGGGTTGGTGTCTCTATGGTGAAGTGGTCACACTGTTTGCCCTGCGCTCTGAATATAATAGGTTTGTTTCATGGTGCCGTCATTTGGTTAAACAAAATATGTAATTTTTACAGAGATCCCCAGGGTCATTGCAAGAGCTTTAGAGTTTGTGCTTTATGTGACACTCCATGCAGGCAGCTATCCTCTGCAGAAGGAGGCCGAGCCATATGGGATCAATCCTGTACATTGGAATTGATCCTTGTAACTTTAGCTTCACCATTTTGCTGTAACATCTGTAATTTACTGTTTTCTCTTTTAACTCCCCAGGTATATACTTCAGTGCCACCGTCAAGTACTCAGAAAGGTACACTGATCAGTCGCATATGATGTACTTAGCTCGGGTTATATGTGGCTGGTCTCAGCAAGGACAGAAACTGCTGACCAGACCTGAGTATCACAGTAAAGTTAGACGGATGTATGACAGCTGTGTGAACGATACGGCCTCCCCAACCATCTTCACTGTTTTCGACAACTCCCAGTGTTATCCGGAGTACTTAATTCAGTTTGAACATTAATTCTCTTAAGTTTTTTTTTTTTTTTTAATGAACAGTTTGTTCTTTAATTATTATTATATTACTATTCATTACTACTATTATTATTATTATTTTTATAAATTTAAATTAGATTCAGAACTGAGCATGAAGTAAGTCTTGTTTCAAGACTTCATTTTGTATATGAATTCGCATCTTTATCAACAGGGATAGGTCCTCGTCCACCCAGGACAGCTGGATATGTCAGTGTAATAGTTGATGTAGCTCTAGCTTTAGGGTCCCTAATGATACCCATTCTGTAGTGTTCAATGGGGTATTGAGGATTTGATCCAGTTGGGTTGACATCCTGAATGTGGCTTATCGGGTCATTGTGGTGTCAGACCTTCGGTTAGCATTTCTGTGTAATGGGGAGCTCTGAGTATTTATATCACTGAGATTTATTTATCAAGATCCTTATGTGAGCTTATTGTTGTTGATTCATTTATCTGATGGAACAGAAAGAGGGGGGGGGGGGGGGGGAGACATTATCATGGGCTCTGGTACACATTAAACCTAACTTCCCAGATTGCGCCAACGGCTTTGGGCAAATAGCACACTGGGGAGGATACTAGCCTTATCCTAGGGAGAGGAAATGCAACCTGAAAACTTTATGTTATAGCAAATCAGACCAGGCCCTTAGCCTTGGCTGGCAGCCCCCTTCTCCATCTATCTTGGTTTAGGGCGATATAGTCCATTATCTGTAACATACAATGATTACGTGCAGCAGGGGTCTTGCATGAAGATTCATAAAAACGGCACAATGCCTGCTGGCACATGTGGTGAGGTAGAGAGCATCTTTTTACACACACCAGAACAGCCTGAATTTTCCCTCACGCGTGTGACCGAAATCACAGGACCACTAATTAGTTATCTGATTTATGTGACTTGGAGGTTAGTGAAATCATTCCAAAGAGCAGCGTTTAATGTTTAAAATTTGATTCCAGCTCAGGAACAGACCATTCTCGTGACTTTCACAAAGTGGTACGAGCATCACACTGTTGTAATGATTGGGACTTGTCATATAATATTCATATTATAGCAGTAGAGGGCATGTATGTAGATGTATTTTCGATTAGAAATTGAAGAGGGTTGAACATTTCCAGACACATAACCCATAGTTTGCTCCTTTCATCATGACTCAGTATACCAGGTTGTATCCTGACATGTATATATTGATGTATGTAATATTCCGAGTATTGACTTCTGAACATTGTATCAGTCATCCTGCAGCAGGTTCTTTGCAGAGCATCTATTTCATCATGGCTTGCAATAAAGCCACTTCATCCCTTGCCAACTCCATTTCCTCCAGAATTTCTTGCACAAGGTGTCTTCGGTAACGTTTGTTACCGCTCATGCTAATCAGCTGTTATTTCAATAACAACTTTTTTTTTATTAATGGGTTTATTTCTAATCCATTATGGGGTTTCCAGTGACCAAACTATTCTATGTTTGTTCATTTAAAAAAGAACCAAATTTGTGACTACATTAAATATGTTTCTTGATAAGTCTTCTGCCCTAAAGTTATTTGTTTGCCACCCACCTTGGTCATGAGTTTATGCCAGGAGAGGTTTCTGCTACTGTGAGATGGTTTATGGTGCTTGGTCATGAGTCCCGAAGACTAGTTTTTCTTAGTCTGCAGATTCCAAGACAAGAAGCTGTTTATGATCCTCTCATCGATGCTCGCATCCTGCAGAATGTCAGTATTTTTCTTCTTGAGGCAGGGTTTCTAGAAATGTGTCTTTAGTTTTGTGAAATGGTCCATAGCTTGTCAAACCTGAAGTTCCCACAGAAGAGGATGTATGCTTTCTAAATGTGTTTCTTTTTCTCTGTGTTGGGTTTCATAAGCTCAGATCTGGGGGCTGCCTCTGTGAATGTGTATGTCAGTTGCAGGTCCTTTGTAGTCCGCAATAGCTTGTCAAACCTGAAGTTCCCACAGAAGAGGATGTATGCTTTCTAAATGTGTTTCTTTTTCTCTGTGTTGGGTTTCATAAGCTCAGATCTGGGGGCTGCCTCTGTGAATGTGTATGCCAGTTGCAGGTCCTTTGTAGTTCGCCATAGCATGCTCTGCACACTTTGCTTTTGAGGTCAGGTTTCTCTTCATAGTTGTTTGTGTTGTGGGTGGGTCTGCAGAATGTGCTCAAGTGTTTGTGGTTCCATCTGACATGTACACCCTGGAGATATGATTTTGATTTAATGGATGTTAAAGGTGGTTGAATTGGTTTACATCATAAAATTTGAAACTAAAAAGTTATTTTGTAATGATATACCACTAGTTTTAGAAAATTTAAACCTTTAATTAGGTTTTTTTTAAATATTTGTTTACATTATCTCTATTATTTTTGTGAGCTAATATAAAGCAGATTTTTTTTTTTAAAGAGCCTTATTCTAATAATACATTTTTATTTTACTTTCTTGATATTTCCTGAAAATCTGGTTTTCTATGTGTAAGTATAAAAAAAAATAAACGACCATTTTTACGCCCCATTTAAGCCTGGGACGACCTGGGAGCCTAAGTAGTTTTTTTTTTTTTTGATTCTGACTCCATTTGGGTTTTGAACCCATGACCTTCGAGTGAGCAGGTAAGCGAAGACATTGGCGTGGTTACTGTAATTTATAGCACACTTTTCCTTTTCATTTGACGGCCGCTTGAATGTTATGGTTTTGACTGTGGGAGGGCCTTATATTCAACACCTCAGTGGCAGTAATTACTAAGGTTCTATCTTTACCTCATTTGTTTGTTCTTTGAAGGTATCAGTAAAACTTTGATTAACCGTCTAAATCCAAACCAGGGCTGTAACAAATAACTGATTAGACAGATAATTCCATACAGTAACAAGATTTCACTGCGAGCTTGGGATGAAAGATAATTTCAAGTTTCTGGTTAAAACTTATCGCTGCATGTTTCCCTTTTTCAGACATTTAAAAATAATTTTACTGGACAGTAAAATCAAAGATATTAGGCCTTACTTTTGTGGGCTTACATATAGGTGGTGAAATCCAAAAACAGCTTAAAAATACAGAACAGTGGCACCACCGTAACATGATGCTGAAAAAGTTCATCAGGGCACTAAGAAACAACACATTCATTCCAACACAGAGACTATTTCTCTGTCACTACTGACAGCAGAATGTAACACAGTTGGTGATTGGTTAGTGATGGGTTTGTGGTGCCTCTGATCAAGCTCAGCTCCTCCTCCAAGGACGTTTAGTCACTTCTGCCGTCATACGGTTCAGTCCCTTGCAATTCTATACAATAGGCTGTAGAAGTAATCCATGGACAGTTTTAAACTTGTCTGTTTGTTTGTTGATAATCAGTGCATTAAAAAAGAAGATGATGGATAACAAACGGTTAAATGAGTGACGGTTAATCAAAGTATATGTAATTTTGTTGACCTCTCTTTGTGACAAACACTAATTAAATAACTATGTTGTGAATAAAATTATGACGATGAATTATCTTGAAAAGTAAAATAATGCAGAGCAATATGAAGTGTGTTCTTTTTTTTCTCATTTTTTTTAGCTTTATCTTAACTCTTTAAATCCTAAGGCTGAGAGCCTACTTTTACTTCTTTTTATCGTTCACTGGCTGTAAACTTTGATGGAAAGTGCTGGTGGATTATCTAACTCGGGACTTCCGCCTTGTTCCAGAACTTGGGAGTTTTTCATGCACATATGTTTTACAGTTTTAGATGATTTGTGTGCAGACTTTTGATGCCTCACCTCTCAGTCAGATGCACTTTAAATCAATCAGTCATCATCGCGCACAAGGCAGAAGATGTACTCCAAATCAATCAGTCCTCATCGCGCACAAGGCAGAAGATGCACTCTAAATCAGTCAGTCCTCATCTTACACAAGGCAGAAGATGCACTCTAAATCAGTCAGTCCTCATCTTACACAAAGCAGAAGATGCACTCTAAATCAGTCCTCATCGCGCACAAGGCAGAAGATGTACTCTAAATCAGTCAGTCCTCATCGTACACAAGGCAGAAGATGCACTCTAAATCAATCAGTCCTCATCGCGCACAAGGCAGAAGATGCACTCTAAATCAATAAGTCCTCATTGCGCACAAGGTAGAAGATGCACTCTAAATCAGTCAGTCCTCATCGTACACAAGGCAGAAGATGCACTCTAAATCAATCAGTCCTCATTGCGCACAAGGCAGAAGATGTACTCCAACTTGAAGGAAATGCTCCTTGAATAGTCACCTCATAGGACTTGCTTGGGGTGGAAGGGGCTGTGAGTATTCTTTTTCCCCTCTAAAATTGTGCCTCAAAACACACACGGGTGACGTGGATATACAGAAGAGTAGTTCACATTTTATTGGAAACAAAAACAAATACAGAGGTTCTGGCGGCACTGAATGAAGAGAGAGTTATGAAAGATATAAATAAGAGACAAGTTAAATATTCTGATCACATTAGAATACATTGTATAGAAACCATATAGGAAGGAAAGTTGAGGCAAGCAAGAGATAGCCAACAAGACAAATGGGAGGAGCGTGAAAACTGTTATATTCCCGTGTGGGTTCCATTGAACGAGTGAAAACTCGTCACTATAAGGAATCCGTCTATTCAGTTATTCGTTATAGCTTTGGTTTGGATGGTAAAGGTTAATCAAAGTTCTACTGATACCTTCAAAGAACAAATTACTGTCTCTCTCTCTCTCTCTCTCTCTCTCTCTCTCTCTCTCTCTCTCTCTCTCTCTCTCTCTCTCTCTCTCTCTCTCTCTCTGTCTTTCTTTCTCAACTGCCACTGAGGTGTTAAGTATTAGTCGCGTTCACCATCTGTACACTCTGGCGGAAAGTTCTGGTTGCTCGTCCACTACTGAACTGCAGTCCTGCTCCAGAACCTGACTGTTGCATGTGCATCAGTTTTACAGATCTCCTTCTCTTGAATACAGACTGTTGGTTCCTTGCCTCTCTGGCAGATGCACTCCGACTTTAAAGGAAGCTCCCCAATTAGTCGACTCTTACGACATGCTTTT